TTTGAGCCACGACACCATAAGTTCCACCCATGTGTCTTTCCTTTTCAGCTAGTCTACCTACTTGAGCATTGAAGTCACCAGCCACTATTATTATATCAGAGCACCTAACGTTTTGGAGGAGGTTCGAGAGACAGACGAATAGACAGATACAACACAGAACTTCGTACTTACGTACATCAGTTCAGGAGGTTCGAAAGCCATCTGTAAAACTCATCTTTTACCTCGACTGAACTGCAGTCAGTAAGAACTTGGGCAGATACGACGAAGAGGCAGCAGCGAGTTTCCTTATCTTAACGAGTCCTCACTGTCCCGTCGGAAGCGAACAAGCAACTATCTGCTGGGGTCTAGTCAAGGATAGCTAGATATGCCTAATACTCGATGTTATACCTACACCAGCGAGGCCGTGGGAAGCAGCAACAGGGCTCCCAGATACACGAAGCGTAAACCGAATTCGTTATTTATTTTGAAATAGTCAGGTTAAATGAAGAGACAAAAGAGATGTTGGGGGGAGGGTTTGAAAATATTACATTGTGACCAATTCGGTCTTGTGTGCTGTTACAGTTATGAAGGCGGATGTCACTTACCGGCTGCCCACATTTTGAAAGTGTTTCCTGAGGAACCTGAAAACAAAGGTTTATTATCGTTGACCTTAGAGACGTGACAGCGTGATTGCAGAGCCCAAGCGGCAACTGCTTGAGGCTGATCACTCACGTCCATGAGAAGGTTATAGGCTTAGCTCCTCTCTTGTTCAAAAGGCCTTACAGAAGTCCGTGATGTAAGGTGATACGTGGCATTTTGAGGGCCGACCTTTCCTAACCCCTTACTTCATTCCTTATGAGGAGGCAATATCGCTGCAGATGCTGATTGTCCGAGGGAAACTCCCTAATGCTTTCACTCCCTTCTACAGTCGGTGGTACGACTTCGCCCTGAGACCTTGAGTAGCTGCTTTCAGTCTCATTGTCCTCCAGTCTACCTGCCTACCACAGTCGAATATTCAGAGACATATGCTGTAGCCAATATAGCTTGCTCGGGTTATCACAACAGGCCAGCACGACCACCGCGTCAAGGTTGCCGCTACGGTGAGCTTTATCGTCTGACCCTAGCGGTGGACCTTTCACAAGGATGTCTATCTATTGATCTAGAGTATGCTGATGACATAGTCCTGTTCGGTGAACACGCTGAAAAAATGCAGTCTTCTGACTACCCTAAGCAACAAAGCGAGCATGTTTGTGATGCCATTCTCCTTGTGGAAATGCGAAATGTAGCTTCAGGATTGGCTTGCATCGGTACCTTAACTAATGATAGGGAGTGAAGCAGTTGAGCGTGTTGACCGCTTCGCTTATCTAGAGAGTCTCATCAGTGCTGACGGCCAGGTAACTGGAGGAATCTGATCATGGATAAACGGCTTTTGCCTAGGTGCGTCACCTATGGCGCAGGAGAGATATCCGTTTGCTGACCAAAGGACTAGCGTACTGCCCAGCACTTTGCTTCTTCCTACTTCACGTGTGTGAAAAATGGCCATTGATGAGAAAGGATGCTCAGATGCTTTAGTATTTGATCCATACAGTCACGTCCCGACCGTGGTTTCTAATCTACCTTCTTTTTCAGGTTCCTCAAGAAACACCCTTTCACGGTGTGGGCAGTCGGGAAGTGAAAACCGCCCTCATACTCGTAACAGCACACTAGACCAAATTAGCCAAAATCAAATCCTTCCTTCACCCCCTAAGATCTCTCTTATCTCCACGACTAACGCTATTCACATTCCTTTATCACCCCACACCGCCAATGCAAACGATGCGAGTTCACGAAAAGTTATTCCTGGAGCTTCTAATATACGGTCATTCTGTCAAATAGGAAAACAGGCTTCACCGCCTGTTGCAACTGTGCTCAGATAACCGCCTATTTCTAGCAAACACTAACTTTAAGCATAAGGAAAAACATCTTTCGACCTGACGACTCCGAAGGTCGTCTCACCATTGGACCCAATTAGATCACATTGCCATCAGCCGCCGATGGAGGGGTTCGGTACAAGACTGTCGCTCGTTCTGTGGCACATTTTTCAGCTTCAGATCACGTTCTAATGCGAGCGAGTATTTATTTGCTGCTCACTGGACGTAGGAAAGACACCGCAATGAAACCTCTCAGGGTTCTACTTAATGATAACAAAGCTAAAAATATATTTCAGGACCAACTAGAAAGACAGTTAAGCGAATTCAAAAGATTACAGTTTGATAGAGGACAAAGAATGGATTCATTTGCGCCACTGAAAACGATTTTGAACCATGTCATTCAGTCTCTGATTCCTGGTTTTGATTATCACGTGGACCTCAATCTTTCTTATATACTGGGACAATCAGCGATTGAGAACAGATTCTACCTAAGATCTCAGTCAGTCCAGCTGCTAAAACTGGCCCACCATTGTTTAATATCTCAGGAGTCAATTTATCGGTCCTGCTGCTCTCTCTCGCTTCAGATTTCCTATGGCTTTCTCATCTTCATAAAGATTCGGAGAACTTATTTCGGATTCCCATTCAGGGTGACTGGAGATCATGGGTAACCGAAGTGTGGCTGAGTACCAGTTGAACTGATCCCTGAAGTGTTCTGCCCATTGATCCAATCTCCTGGATTGAGAATGAATAATAAGACTTACTCACATTCGGGTTTCTGTTACCGGTTACCTTGATCAGTCTGAATAACTGTCTAGTGTTGCCTATCGCCGTTGCCATTTCCATCTTTCTCGCTTTCGCTACCCACCGCTGTTCTCGATCATTGCGAAGGCTTTTTGTCAGCCTGCGCCTGAGCTGACTTCGCTTAGAGCCAGGGGCGTTGAGCTTTCGAGGACCCATCAGTTCGGTAGATGCTACTGAATTCCACGGCTTCTCCCTAAACTTATGATTTACCTTACTAGAAGATATCACTACTGTTTCCACAGCTTTTTAGATATCATTCCAAGCTGCCTCAGGATGGGCATCACTTACTACATGGCTGCTTAACTGTTTTTCTAGTTGCTTCTGAAATATATTCTTAGCTTTATTATCAGTAAATAAAGCCGTAAGAGGTTTCCTTGCGTCCAGTAAGGCGCAAACAAATACATGCTCGCACTAGAGCATGATCTGAGCCTAAATGAGCGGCAGTATTCAACAGAGCCTCTCCACCGATGTGATCTAGTTGGATCGGCTTCAGGGGTCACCAGGTCAAAATGTATTTTACCTTATGCTTAAAGTTAATGTTTGCTAGGAATAGGTGGTTATCTGAACATAGTTGCAGTAGACGGTCGCCAATATCTGTTCTATTATCCGCGACACCATAAGATCCACCCGTTTCTTTCCTTTACGTTGAGTCTACCTACTTGAGAGTTTAAGTCACAGCCATTATTACTATATCAGAGCGCTTAACATTTTGGAGAAGTTTAGAGATGTTTCTATAAAACTCATCTTTTATGTCATCTGAACTGCAGCCAGTGGGAGCGTACGCAACTACGACGAAGAGGCAACGGCGAGTGTCCCTATCCATTGGAGTCCGTACCGTTCCGTTTAGTCGGACAGTGCATGAGCGTCTGTCTATCAGGATCCAGTCTAAAGTAGCTAGTTCTGCCCTAGGATTTAATACTATACCTACACCAGAGAGGCCACAGGAAGCAGCATCAGGGCTTCCAGAAACACGGAGTGTAAACCCTCTTGTTTCTATATCTGCACACGGTGGAATTAAACTAATGATTTTACTCGGATCTTGTATGTGCGTTTCGGAGACGCAACATACATGGATTGCACGAATTCCAGGGTTATAGCTAATGGAGTCTGTTGCCCTATTTGGCATAGTTCCCGAACATCAGAAGCTCCTATATGTAATTTGATACGGGGTTTTAAGAGACTAGGTATAATGTTTCGTGAGCTCATACCGTTTGCTTCAGTGGCGTGAGGTGATAAACGGTCGAAAGAAGGGTTGGTCGAGGAGATAAGAGAGTTATTAAGAGGTGTAGAAAGGATTTGATTGTGACCAGTTCGGTCTCGTGTGCTGTTGCGTATATGAGGGCGGATATTACTTCTCGGCTGCCCACACCGTGGGTGTTTCTCGAGGAACCTGAAAAGAAAGGTAGATTAACGTTGGTCCTAACGACCTGAGAGCGTGACCGCAGAGCGCAATGGACGACTACTTGAGGCCGGCCACGCATGGCCTTTTATGAAAGGTCTTTTGGGTATTAGCTCTGCTCTTTTAAAGCGCTTACCGCCGGAAATCCGTGAGTTAGGGTGAGGTGTGACATTTTTAGGGTCGACCTTTTCTAACCTTTCCTTCCTTGTGAGAAGGCTGCATCGCTGTAGGTGCTGGTTGTCCGAGGGTAAAACCTTACCACAGTCACACCCTTCTATAGCCAGTAGTACGACTTCGCCCTCTAAACGTGAGTAGCTGCTTTTAGTCTCATTGTTCTACGATCAACCTGCCCGGCATGGTAGAATCTACAGGAGAATATGCTGCAGCCAATGTAACTTGCTTGGATCATCACGATATGCAAATCCGACCACCACTTCAAGGTAGCATCTACAGTCGCTCCTATGAATATTACAACAAAGGTGAAGGGAAGTTTTTTCATTCACGTCTGTGTGTTGATGTGGTATGAGTTGAACCGACATATGATTATGCGAAATTCCACATCCTAACTGACTGGGAACTCTTTTAACTGAAAGGACCGAATTAGCTTGCGACTTTTTTGAATTGTAGAATCGGGAGTTACTGTCGTTAGATACTACGATCGGATGACTGTAAAACACCAAGGCTCAAATACTGATGAGAACTATCCATGTTCTATGCGTGATTTTATTCGAGCAACCGATTGGCTTTTTTACAGTTTTCAGGTCAGTTAACTCATACGTCGTGCTCTGGTGGACTTCATTTGAGGTTTCCGAGAATCCCAGCCTACTCACCGGATTTAGGATCTCTGTAGTAAGTTATAGTTTTCAGGACAGTTGCCGGTTGGGAAATAAGTGGCCATAATTAGTATACATGTAAATTTTAATTGGTTATAGCGGCTTGGAATATCAAAAACATTAACAATGTTGTTCAATCCTAAAAAACGATAACACATTGAAGGAAACACAAGAATTTCATTTTCGTAATAAGTAATCTGTAAATAAATCATATGTAACAAAACTTCTTGACAAAATCTATAAAAATTAAATGCATTTCTTTGGAATCGGTTCTAAATACATCAGCTAACTAAACACCGTTCTCAACAGGCGTGGTTTCGCCATTCGCATTCATAAGCTTAACCTTCTTGGAGGTCGGATTTTCATGACCATTTAATTCAGGATTAATATTCTCTACGGGTGCTGTGCCAGAAACTGGTCGTTTTTTCCTCACTAAGTGTGATATGTCATCAGTTGGAACACTAGCGCCATTGGAGCACGATTTCATAGGATGATCTGTCTTCTTGATGCCTTCAGTCAACCTGTCTTCTTCAATATCTGCACAACGACTCTGGACGTCTGGTATTAAAAGCTCTATTTCTTTGAGACTAATTCGGAGAAGTTCTTTTTCTTCTTCTTTTTGGTCATCAGCTTCAATTTTAGACTTGAGATCTTCAGCCAGCAACTTGAGACACTCGACTGAAGCTTTGAAAGAGCTACTTGCGTTTTCTAGGTCACCAGAAACGGCATACGTTGTTCCTAGCTGGTAGTGGCTTTCAGCAACACGACGATCTTTTTGACCCAAAATGGTATTACGGATTTCTAAGCACTCCTATTGAGAAATGGAGAGAAAGAGTATTGTTACGTTAGAAAAGAAATCAAAGCTCAAAACTACTATGATATATGAAGACTACCGAATTTCTACTCATTGCATAGTCGACATACTGTATTTATGCTTCAATTTAAACTAACAGTCCCAGATGGGAAGTGCTAACTTCATAGTTCATCTTATATCTAGGCTTCACGAGGAAGAAAGCAACGCGAAGCATCCCCTTGGAACTTTAAATGCGTGAAAGATGTAACTTCTGGAGCCGTCGACTATAATAATGACTACTTAACGAACACAACCTAGGTAAAACTTAGGATGTTTATTATGAAAGCTAAGCCAAGAACATGCACATCACGACATCCCGATAATCTGAGCTCATAGTTGTCAAACTTACTGATTGTTATATCAACTCATCAGTAAACCCGTATGTCACAAGAGAAAAATCTGATGTCCAGCCTCCAAGTCAAAGACAGTTTAGGTTAGAACAGTTATAAACGCAACTGTTCATCTGCTCACAAGGTTGCACATTAACAAAGATTTTGGACAAAGCAAAGTAAGGATGAAGTGATATTTTGAAGGTTAAGGTATACATGCGAACACAGGCGTGTGAACCTTTTGTTGGTCGTCAACTACTGTGGGACTGAATCTCAACAGTGTACTATTGCCTTAAGGATTATGCTTTTAGGTCAAACGTTCGAGAAGTGGTTCATGAAGAAAACAACTTGTTTCGGTTCGGGAGTCCAGGCAGTATCTGAGCCCACATAGAATCATTAATTTACATGGCTAGTAACAATTTATAAATACACTGATATAATATGAAAGTTGTACCCTCACAAACCACTTCGTAATTTCTATCCATAAATATTTTATAGAGATAGTTCAAAAGCACTTCAGAAAAGTTATAAAAATTTCTTGTGACTGTAAACGTCGGGTTATGACTGGAAATTGACAACGCTGTCGAATAAAGAGCTATCACTGCTTTATGAAACGTCCAAACCGACTGGAAAGCAAATGAACTAAGTGATACTGAAATTCAGGAATAACTCATTTTGATGACAAAACCTATCGCATCTACGTTCAGGTCATAATAAAACATACCTTTAGATCCATAACTGCCTGGTCATAATCTTCTTTTTCACGACTAATCTCACCAAGTTTTTCCAGGCATTCGGCAACATTAAGTTTACTTGCGTCGTCCTCCTTTTGTGAAAACAGTTTCTTGGCTACTTCAATAACCTCCCAGGCGATTTGAAGACTAGACACATCATCATCTTCATCATCATTATCATTAGATTTGGCGGCCTCCGTGTCTGTAGGATTATCCGAAACATCATCTTGGTTCTCAGGTTCACCTTCGTCAGATTCATTAGATTCATCATCTTTAGCTTCTTTAACGGTATCATCCGTCGTATTCTCAGTAGCAGCATCGTTATTACTAACAGTCTCAATATCTTCGTTAGTTGAACTAGACTCTTTATGTTCACCGTTCTCCGGATTTTTTTCTTCACACATAGCGTCTATGACTTGATTGGATATGTCTTCCTTTTCTTCAGCTACAAAAATAATGTCACGAGTTCGCTTACTTGATAATTCAGGCCCAGGTTCAATGATGCCATCGTCCGATTCAGAGTCATCTTTATCTTCGTCCGGTACTAAACGTATGGACTAGGATATCTGATACTTACTTCCATCTAATGCATTTCCAATAACTGAACTCTCGATTCGTGATAATTCTAGAAGTGCAGTACCATACAGTAGGTTAGGAATAGCAAGAGCTTCATGAAAGTCACCATGTATTTTCGACCTAATGATTATTTAACATCATCAAGACTCACAGAGCTTCACAGGCTTTTTGAAAACTATCTACTGCCTTGTGAATATCACCACAAACTAAATCTCTCCTTCCTTGAGTGATTAATTCTTCCATTTCATGCTCCATACTGACAAACCTGGACTGAACAAACCGCCTGGTTTTGAAATTCAAATTGGGCTCAAGTTACTGATACTCCCTCAATGTCCACTCTATTTTCGATCGTTAAGGCAAGTTTATATAAGCTGATATATATTTGGTTTTATCGGGGTTGAAGTGTTACGAAAACATTTTACAAAGATCTGGGACCACTCAGTTAAATTGGTTTTGCTGTTTAACTGGGCTTTATGGCTATTTACCGGTTCGTATGTTTTAGATCTTAGATCATATGTTTGTCCTAACGAAACAGCCTTCAAATTGTCAGGCAAGTATCGCATTGGTTGCGTTTAAAGCTTTTCAAGCATAGAGAGAAGAGAAGACTCGTGAGCCACTAAAAAAACTTGGGGAGCTCCCCAAAAAACCAGTTTTCTTCGGACAAAGTAAAGCTTGGCCTAGGCTTAAGCTGCTTCACTCTAATAGGTACCATTATTGTGAGGTCTGTTTGTTAACGTGACTTCAGGAAGACTATGAGGAAGTAGACATCATACCTTTCCTTCAGGTTGTTAGGGAAAAATGTTCGATATATGTGGAAGTTGGATTATTTATGTCCTGTTTTCATAATCTCCCTAATATGGGGCCACATCTTTGTAGAACTCTAGTTTATTCCCTTCACATTTGATGTCAATTCATAGTCATACGCTAGCAAACCTAAGTTCACCAAATAATGATCGAAAACTTAAGAATCTTAAAACAATTAAGAATAATTCCTGAAATACCCTAGAAATTGATGCTATCGATTTAGAACGAGCCAGGTGAACTTCATTCAGAACTGTGATCTCTGCAGCTAATCCCTTGGTCAAGAAAGCAATGGATCTTTGAATTCTGTTATCAATACCCTGGCTTATAGAACAGTTTTTATTATTGTATGAAGTTCCCAAGTTCCCAAATCGGCATATCCCGATCGCAGTCCATCCGCCGCATACTGATTAAGTGTTTACGTTGCGAGACCAGTACTTTTATGTACATGTCAAGCTACTTGAAAAGTTTTTCATCAACCAACCCTCATATTTATTTATCTTAAAGTCTTTCTGGAATTTCTAATGATGCTGGCAGCAACGTTGCCGGTCGATAGCAACTCGTGTCCACTTAAATTCCTCTCCGTATATAGAAGGTTGAGTTCTAAAGAAGGCTGACTATTCTCCAGAAGAGGACATCTTTTCATTGCTAAGGAATGGTTGAGTAAATATAATCGCTTGGTAACTCGTCAGACCTCGGTTTCTATGACTATTCTGACATTTAGTCAGGATGATTTTGTAGTGAATGAGAACACAGGTGGAGGCAACCGAATTGTATTTAACGAAAATTACAGAGTTACTCAGTAAAATCGGAAAACCATATCGTAAATCGTTCATTTGCAAAAGATCAGTTCATCCTATGGAACTGGACTGTTCCTGTTGCCAAACATCAATCCATTGTCACTCTTCATGCGTTTCATACAAATTCCATTGTTTTCTGATTCTTCCTTTCTTGATCTTCCCCCCATATTATGCTACCAGACTTTACGTTGACACTCACGCTATATACTACTTATAAGTAGTTCGCACCACAGCACCACACTCGTCCCCCCTTTTAATAAGCTGTCGTCGCAGTCTTTCTGATCTCCGTACAGCCGTCTTCTTCATCAGTGTTTGTGGCTCGCCCTCTTGGCGCACTTGGAACCACCTTTGGAGTTCACTGGCATTCACGCGTTTCTGTTTGTTTCCTTTCTGGATCGTAAACACTGCGCCGCGCCTCTCGGTGACGACGTACGGTCCCTCCCACTTCGGGATCAGCTTACCTGACCCTGGCCCTCTTCCTGTGGTATATTTCCGTTCTCTACACTTCACCTGATCTCCCACTTCAAACAATCTCCAGTTCTTTCTCTCCTGTTCTGACTTTTCCATGTCTGATGTTTGTTTCTCTCTCACATTCCTGATTGCTTGTCTCCGCTCTGTTCTCAATCTTGTTGTATTCCATCTCTGTTGTTGCGGCCAGGTTTTATCATGCGTTGGTAGTCTCGGCCGTCTGCCGTACATCAGCTGGAACGGTGACTTCCTGGTTGTTCCCTGTGCCGAGGCACGATGTGCCAGCAAGATTAATGGTAATTCTTTCTCTCAGTCACCCCCTTTAGATGCTAGCCATTCCTTTAGCGTTCGGTTATTCCTTTCCGTTAACCCATTCGTCTGTGGATGATACGGCGTTGTTCGTACTCTCTTGATACCTAACTGCTTTAGACGGGACTTGAACTCATCACTCTCGAAACAGGGACCTTGATCGGTTAATATTATCTTTGGTATCCCATGGTCCGCCACAATGTGCCGCATTACCGCTTCCGTCACTGTCCTTGCACGTTGGTCCGCCATCGGCACGGCATTTACCCATCGTGTGGCATGCTCAGTCATCACCAGCAGGTACTGGTTACCACCTGTCGTCTGCGGGAACGGTCCCATAACATCTACTGACCACCAATCACCAACTGCTGTTACTGGAATTGACTGCAATGGCGGTCGTATGCATCGATCTCCTTTCATTAGTTGACATCGCTGGCACGCTAATACATACCGTGCAACATCGTCTCTCATACCTGGCCAGTACGCACTTTGTCGCAGCAAATCAGTTGTCCGTGCAATACCTGTATGCGCTACCTGGTGACATTCACGAATCATCTCCTGGCGCCGATCTTTTGGGATTATTGCTACCCAATTCTCGTCATCATCCCGCCAGGTCAAGGCTCCGTATCCGTTCACTCTCAGTCTCTCCTTCTGCCTCAGCAACACTGTTAATTCTTTATCGGTTCTACTCTTGTCAACATCTTCTCCCTCTTTTATCACTCTGATTACCTCCCGAAGGTTAGGGTCGGCTTTCTGATGTCGGACGAGTTCTAGGGGGTCTCCCTCTAGGCCGTTAACTGCACACGCTATCTCTGGAAGTTCGGATTCGGTGTCCGGTCTTGACAAATAATCTGCCATTACATTTTCCTCCCCTGGCACATGCCCGATGCTGAAATCATACTCCTGCAGACGTAGCATCCATCGAGCCAACTTCCCCCGAGGGTCTTTTGCTGTTTTCAACCATTGTAGGGGCTTATGATCCGTCTCGATGTGAAATCGTCTACCTAAAAGGTACGGTCTCCATTTCTCTACTGCCCACACGATTGCTAGGCATTCCTTCTCGATCGTTGAATACTTCTGTTCGGCGGGTGTAAGAACGCGACTTGCGTATTCCACCACTCTATCAGCCTGACTCAATACCGCACCTATACCATGATCACTTGCATCTGTGGCCACTGTAAACAGTTTACCGGGTTCAGGCAGTCGCAGCGTCATCTGACGATCGTCTAGCATGTTTTTGATTCGGTTGAACGTTTGTTCGGCAGCCTCAGTCCATGTAAACTTGGTGTTGCTCAGCAACTTATATAAGGGCGCTGCTATTTCGTTGAAATTCTTGACAAACCGACTATAGAACGCCGCTCTTACCAGGAACTGTCTCAACTTCCTTTTCGAATTAGGTACTGCAATATTTTTTATGGTAAGAATTTTCTCTGGTAATGGCTTTATTTCTCCGTTTCCCACTTTATGTCCCAACAATATGACGCTGTTTTTCGCTATCTGCGACTTTTCCTTATTAATTCGAAGCCCAAATTCGTCAATTCGCTTTAAGACCGCTTCCACATGCTTGACGTGATCTGTTTCTGTCAGGCTGTATACAACTACATCGTCGCCATATACCTCAACATTATCTAGATTCTTAAGCAGCAGTGTCATCAATCTTCTGAACGTGAACGGTGCACCAGCCAACCCGAACGGCATTCTTTTAAATTGATACTGTTTATCCCGTATAGTAAATGCTGTCTTTTTGCGATCGCTATCTTTTATAGGTAGTTGCCAATAACCTGACCGTAAATCCAGCACTGTAAACACCGTGGCATTCTGTAGTCGATCTAATGTTTCTACTACTGTTGGCATTGCGCACGGTTTCAGGTCAGTTATATTATTCAGTTCTCTAAAGTCGACGCAAAATCTATACTTTCCATTGGGTTTCTTTACCAAGAGTACCGGTGAGCTATACGGGCTGTCTGCTTCCTCAATTATCCCTTCCTTCAACATTTCCTGGACCTGTCGATTTACCTCGGCCTCTAAATGCACTGGGACACGACGTGTTGTAAATATATTTACTCGGTCGTTCTTTATAGAAATTTCATGCTTTACTTTGTCACAAAATCCATGCGGCTCCCCATCCCCAGTGAACAGTTTCGCATACTTTGCGCATAACTCGTTAACGTTAGGTTTCTTGGTCGAGACGTCCGTTGCCATCCTTATTTCAGCCACTTCGCTACTTTCATGTATTGGCAATGAACCGTACTTTGTGACCATTTTACCGCTTCTCAAGTCAATTATTGCTTTTACCTCTCTTAGGAAATCTGCTCCTAATATCGGTCTCGATAAGCTTGTGGTTACCACGAACGGAAAATTTATCTCAGCTCCACTCATTTTTACAATACTGTTAGATACCCCCAACACCTCTAGCATATGCCCTCCTATGGTGTGGACAGCTAATGTACATGGTTTAATTGTCTTACATTGCTCTTTGCTTATTAACGATATAGCTGCCCCTGTATCAATCAAACACACTAACTCCCGTTCATTTATGTACACTCTGGCATAAATTGCCCCTCTATCTACTAGTGCAAGAACCTCCCAATTCCTAGGATGGAAAGAAAACACGTCATAATGTTTAAAATATCGTCGTCGTCGTCTTCTTGGACAGTTTATCTTCCAATGTCCTGCCTCTCCACAAGCGTAACATTTATCGTTCCTTTTATGATTTACTCGTACTGCTGCTATCTCACGCTCTAACTCCTCAATCTTCTTCTCGAAAGCATTTATCTCCTGCTTTTCGCACCCGACCGGAGCTACTGTTCGTGTCATCAGCTGACGAGTCACCTTCGCCAGTTCACCGATGTCCATAGGTTGTGCTGCATTTACTAATCTCAGCTGCTGGGACACAGCGGCAGGCACACTATCAATAAATTGCGACGCCAACAATTGTGCCTCCGACTCCTCATCGATATTCGGCAACGCACGGCGCAGCAACCTTTTGAGTTCCACAGCGAGCACCAGCGGGTCACCATCAGCCGACAGCCTCGCCAACCGGAACTTCCGCAACGCCTCCTCCCTGTCCACCGGGCTGTCGAACTCGGTCATCAGCTGCTCAACGACCGCCTCCCATGGCGTCTTCCCGCCAGCACCGTCCAAGCCG